TATTAGGGGTAATATTTCAACTTGGGACTGTTTTCATGCTATAACAAAATATCGCAATTGGCATGTATCATGGGAATATCATTTTGCTTCAATTTCCCACAGTTGTGCAGTACAAGGTAAGGTTTACCTATATTGGACAGAGTGACTAAAATATAAGATAATTTTCATTTATGGTATTACTGCACAATACATTGGTATACATTTACAGAAAAATCACTATCATGATCAAAGAGAAAAACTACACTCATCTATACATGAAATGATATGTATAAGCAAAGAATATCATCAGAAATGAAGGAAATAGTTCACAACAAATGCAGTGCGGAGAGTTAATCCATGTCAATTGAGTGGGGCAGAGTCCCTGATAGGGAAGTGTAGCGATCGAATAGGAGTTTAGGGGCAAAGCCTCTGAGTTAGGAAGGTTTTTGGTTCATATGGTGATGTTTGTACAGTAGCTGGAGTAATGGGTACATAGTTTCAGAGGGGTAAAGTCACTTAGTAAACAATACCAAAACTTACATTTATATCATTAGTGATGGAAAATAGCAAGAGATTCAAGAATACTATGGTATGGATAATTGTAAGAAATAATAGTAATTGCAAGATTGGATGTCTGAGTGAAACTAAAAAAATTCATTTATTCAGACAAAGTTACTGATAGCATGTGTTAATGCTTAATTCGCTTGGCAGTTCTGCCTAATGTGGCAGACAAAATCTGTCAATTTCAAAGCTAATAAATGTACAAGAGTTGCCTAGGTCCTATGATTCTTGTGGCCTCTGTGCGATCGTCACTCCAGCAAAGGTCAATAGACCTCTGCAAATTTTTGACAAGATGAAGGTTATACTGGTTCCTTGTTGGAAGACAAATCATAATTGGTCTACAAACGCTATCAACATCTAGTCTTTTCATAATTAACTAATCTGGTTCAAGCCATTTAGAAGCCACAGCATTGCAAAAGTTCGGTTAAAGCCTTGTTTTAGTTTGTTACTGGAAAATAATGTAGGCCCCCGCATAATCCACACATTACAGGTTGAATATTTGTTCCTTGCACTTCTGACTTTTCACTTGAATGACTGACTTTGAATACAGTCGCCAAGAACACAAATATGATTTCTTATAAATGTAATCTGCACAAAGTGATGGCTGTCCCATAATTACTTATCAGACCAGTGGATCTGGGCACTAAACAATACCATGGCCTGCGTGTTTTGTGTTCAGACAATAGTCAAGAAACCACATAGGATATTCTGGTAGGAAGAGCTTGTAGACATTCTTGGCTATTTATTATCTAATAATAATTTATTATAATTCCAAGCTCTGTTTTACTAGAATATACATGATGGAGGTTGTTAGCCTCTATCTGAGTTCAGAAGCCAGTCAGGATAAATCCCCAGATGAAAATTGCAGAAAATCTTTATGCATATCATAAATAATTGGATGGATAGATAGAAAAACATATCATTTATTTACTAGATACTTATAAATTTCAGAGACACTTTTGTTATTTCTCCCCAAGTTTTATTCACAATCTGTTAATGCCAGGAGTGCATATAAGCATGCAGTGTCTACTGTGGTGTTGTTTAATAACTTTTCCTTGCACATAGATGTCTAACAAATGCTAATTCACCAATTAGTCAATTATGAGGTCTACCTGATCACCTGTTTAGCACTTTATTTCAATTTTTAAAAATTTATTCTTATGGCAGTTATTATTGTTATCATAATGATGACAATAATAAAGGTAATAAATATTTTTTTCAAAAAAATCCAGGAAATGGATTCAACAGGTAAGCCAAGTAATTGACTTTGGTGACAGAGTGCTTGTGGAATTGTCTCTTATAATAATTATAAGAATAAGAATAAAAATAATATATATATATATAGATAGATAGATCCTTTTTCATCTGGTCTCAGTAGGTTATTCTTCTTCGTTCTTTTTTTTTTTCTCTCTCTCTCTCTCTCTTCTTTTTTTTCATATAAGGAAAAATTCATGGCCTGAATCTAGTGTAGAACTGTTCTTAGTAAGTCAGTGAAAGTTTGCTACCTTTGTCTCATTTAGCAAATGGTTATTTTTTATTTAGTCTTATTGACATTGAGAATGTCTTTGTGTTTTACCAGATGAAGCATTTGTTGATTACCATATATTTCCCAGGGCATCAGTTGTTTTTCTGTCCCTAACTGTCACTTGTAGGGGACAACTTTTTGGATGGCATAAAGTGTCTGTAGACATTTGAACATCTACCAAGTCATAGGACATGACTATGTTATTTTATCTGATTCTTTAAATCAAAGCAGTGACACTGAATTTCATAATGTGGGTTACATTGATGTTAAATTGCAAGTTGACTATAGAAAATTCCTGGATTGAGTTATGCAAGTTGGGTAGGTATGCAGAGTATAACTTTATCTCTCTTAGGCCTTCACTTCACTGGATATTTAATGGTTAGAAATGTTAATTCATCATGTTTTTCATAACAGTAAAAAAAAATTTCAGTTATCATCAATTATTATTTTTTTTAATGTTCAAAATGCATTAAAACAACCAGTCTCCAAAATCTGTCATTTACTGATTGAATGGCCGTCTATCATCTTTCTTTTGCTGCAGCTGCTTCTTTACTAGCCTTAGTATTTTTTCTATAACTGGATGTTTCCAATAGATCTGAAGTATAGTTAAAAATGGTGAATGTATTAAATTTATTTATTTATTACATGATATTAATGTATTATAAGTGTACCCAAAAGGCCAAACCAATTGTTCAACCGGGAGGTTGATTTTTGAAGATATAGGAATGTAACTTGAACTCATAATCCCCACCACTAAAAATAGTTTGCACTGGTGCTTGGAAAATTGATAATTCAAGGAATATTTTGCAATTGTGTAAATACATCCTTTTATTGGTCTTTTGTCCTTTATATTTCTTACAATTCATCCTCTTTCTCTTCCTTATCACCTTCCTCTCATTATTCCCTCCCTTCCTATATATATATATATATTTTTTTTCTTTCTTTTTCTTTTTCTTCTTGAAATTAAACTTGGTATAGTTTGAGCTGTGGCTTTCAGGGACTTAGAGCATTATTTTTTCAAGGCAACTTTAGTATAATGATAATTTAATGTCAAAAATGTAGCCAGAATATGAGCTCTTTAATCCTTGGCAGATGAAGCTGCAGAAGTCAAAGACACAAAGAAGCGCGGTGGAGGCGAGGAAGCTGATGGCGTGGTTGCCCTGGAGACTGGCCGTGGCAGCAGGAGGCGAGGCCGGACAGCCACTCCACCCTCTCCTTCCAAGACACCAGATTCCCCACCCAGAAAGACACGTCGTGGGGTGTCATCTCCTAGCACCCCAAAGAGAGCCAGTCCAAGGGGACGTGGTGTTGGCAGAGGCTCACCAGCGACCAAAGAATCTCCTGTAAAAGCTTCGCCGCGTGGTCGAGGACAAAGGATACGCAGAGGGAGTACAGACTCTAGTGCCAGCAGTGTAGGAGCTGCAAGTGTTGCTTCCTCTTCCACTCCCACTCGCAGACGAGGAAGACGAGGTAGCAATAGTTCAGAGGCCAGTGGTGCTTCCGAAACTCCACAGAAGACTCCAAATTCACCACCAAACCGCCGCAGAAAGAGAGGCAAATCAGATAGTCCTCCAGCAGTACTTGCCAAGAAAACTAATGGGGCATCTCCTCAGTCGTCACCCAAAAGGTCAAGCAAAAGAAAACGGGGCACACAGGAGTCAGATGCCTCGCCTTCAGCAAATGGTCAGGGTAGTCACAGAACACGCAGAGGAGTCGCATCAGAGGACCAGGATGGGGGCACAGAGGACCCTGAAGAGCACTTGCTGAGCAGCATGGGAAATGGCTCACCTGCAAGCACCAATGACTTAGGTGAGGAGGTGAAGGACAGTAATACACCTTCCATTGTAAGTGAGGAAGCAGGAGAGGATAGAACGCAAAGCCCAGTAGAAAATAATTCCAGCGAAGATAGAGAGGCATTAGATGAGCATATAGAGGAAGAGAATTCAAACCAAAGCAATGAGCTTCCAACCCAAAAGGAAGATAGCCTGGCCAACACAGATCAGGGTCATGAGAATGCAGTCAACAGCATGTCAGCAGTAGAATCTGAAGAAAAACAGGATTCCAAACAAAATCAAGCAAAGATGTCTGACATGAGCAAAGATGTAGAGTCAAAGCCTTCTCAGAATGGCAAAGAAGAAAAAGCGGGTCTTGAAAAGAGTGAAGATAATTGTGACAGTTCAGAGGTTTTGCAAAGTAATAATGATGCTAAAAAATCTGATATAAACCAAAGCCTTAAACAAGGCAAGTGTGAGTTGCTTGAAAATAATGAAGATGTCAAATTACAGCCTGTTGACAAGAGTAATAAAGAAGAAACAAGTTGCTCTGACTGTACAAGCAGTAGTAGCAGTATCTCAAGAGTGAAGAGAAAAATGAGTGATGAAGAAGGGGATGCTCCCTGCTCAGGAAGCCCTGAGACATTACCTACCTCCCACAAGAAACACAAAGTAGAATCAGTTGCTCCTAGTGTTACCAAGTTCCCCCAAACTGCACACTCACCAGAAAGTGGGAGTACTGAAGTTCCTAGTGTTACCACACACTCGAAGGAGACTAAGGTAACAAAGCAGCCGGAGGGTGCAAATAAGCAAGACTCCAGTGCTACAGAGAACCCCAAATCCATTTGTACACAAGGCAGATGTTCAGGTGATAAATCTCAGGAAGATAGATTAAAGTCCAGCCCAGAAGATTCCTCCAGAGAACCAGAGGAAGTGGTCATGGATACCCTCACTGTTGCCGACACCTTCCTGGAAGGCCTCAACCTCACTAGTGACCAGCAGAAGGAAATTGTTTCCTTCATTGCGCAGGACATTAAAGGTAAATCCAAAGCAATAATAAGGAACACACTGTTAACAAGTAGCCATTATGGAAATCAATACAAGAATCTGACTAATGTTATTTAGTCAACACAGGAATTTCAGGAACTGTTTCAGAGAAAAATGTACCATTCATGGAATAATAGTCAGGTCTAAGCTTAGATGTTTCAGTAGTCTAATATTCAATACAGGCTTTGCCAATATTTGTTCTCTTTTACAAAGAAACTTCTTTTTAAATGGTTAGTAATACCATATCATGTTAGATCATATTATTTATTTAAGTCACGTAGGATTTATTGTCATCAGAACACCTAAGCACTACTATTCACCAGATTCAGAGAACACCTGCAAGGGACAATGTTGCCATACTGTTGACCTTTTATTTATTCCTGACTTTAGCAAATAGAAAATTCCTCAAAATTAGAAACAAATGATATTGTTACAGACTCAAGTGTGGCGCAAGTGATTGAGACGTTGGTGGAGCAGTTGGTGGGAGGCGCCTGCACAGTTGCCACAATGAACGCACCTCGCTTCAATAAGTTTTTACAACAACTCCTTGCACATTACTGCAGTTTGCCCTGTAATGTAGATCGTAAACATGCCTTATGTGAGGTAAGTGGCTCAGTCTCATGATGAAAGATCACACTTGATGCAGAAATAGTGCTTAGGAGTGTGTATGGTTTTAGAAATAACAGATTATTCATCATTTATAGTGTTAATTAGAAATGATGGAGGCAAAATCCAAAGTGAATACACTAATCTTCCAAAGAATGAACCAGCTACATTAAGATTTGAAAAATGCAAAAATCTTGTGGATATGAAACAAGCTTGTTTTGGTCTGCTGAGCAGTAATTTATTGGGCTTTTAACCATTCTTAATGTTTATGTATAACAAGACTAATAATCTGAATATTTAAACAAGGAGATCATAGATACTTGAGAAATTTTGTGAGAGTCATAGTAATGTGTTGGGGCATGATTGATGTCTGTAGACTTATTTGAAGTTAATATTTTTGAAGTACTACACCTTTTATATATATATATATATATATATATATATATATATATATATATATATATATATATATATATATAAACCATTATTCAGAGTCCCACTTACCCAATTCATGGAGGGTCACTTGCTTCTAATATTGTTTGCCATGGTTCAAAGTGATATATTCCTTTCTGCAATCATTTTATGCTGCTTCACTTCTTCACAGAAGTCCTGATGCAGAAATTTGTTTAAAGAATTTCCCAAAGTCCAGACCATAACCATTGCACAGTGGGAATTCTCACTCCCCTTATGGTACTTCTGTGCATCCTGAACAGGGACGGAAGTATTTTATGAATGAGCTAGAACTCTCATGACATTGTGGTGTTATAGATTCACTTGCTTATCATTTGATTTTTCTACTTCTTTATTATCTATCTTGTACTGATTTACATAATATTTTAAAGGTATGATGAAATGCTCACCCCAAGGTTGGTGGGTTATTGAGCCATCAGAGGTTGGTCATGACTTCCGGTAAATTAGGGTTATTTAGTAACATAAAGTTACTGAGAATTAGCTTGATAGCAGATAAGACTTCATGGGCAGTGTGCGTAGTTTTTGAATTTAGTTAAGATCTGATGAAGTAAGACTATTTGCAAGAATAGAGCATGTGCATTCTGATGTTTTGTGCTTTTTTATCAATACGTAAAACCCAAGGCTGTTTGCTAATACATGAAACACTATATCTGTTATATTGTGGATTAATGATGAAAATGTTTAATATATTTGTGAATATGATATTTTCAGCAAGCTGTGCAGTGGGCACGGGACAGGAAGAGTGTTCACTTAAGACATGAGTTAGAACTGACTCTCATGACTTTGTATTATTCAACCAAGCAATATAAGAAGGCTGAGGCCATTGCCAATGCACTTTATAGTGAAACCAAAAAGTTACAAGACAAAGATAAGACTGTAAAGGTATGTGCAACGTATTGTGTACTTGCTTCTGTGACTGGATATAGTTTCTGTATTATTGTAATGCTTTTATAAAGTTCTTTTATTTAACTCCCTTGCCGTTCTTCCAGGCATGTCTCTGCCTGAGTCAAGTCTACCATGCAATGGGTAACATCTCCAAGGCCAGAGCCAACATCACCACAGCCAAGACAGAAGCCCTCAAGATATACACGCCACCAGACATGCAGGGAGAACTTGATCTTCAGTCAGGTAAAGTGCCCCAAAGAAAGCTGTTTCTATTTCTTTACTTGCACAGCGTTAGTTGATTTTTAGTGCAATCCCATACATCAGATCAGCAAATATTACCCATGACAAGGCATACCAAAACAATTCAGACCTCATGCATACTAAAATATATTGCATTTATATATGTGTGCATGGCAGGGGGGGGGGCATATTCTAATAAGAATCAACATGGTATCTAGATCAAGCCTGAACCAACAGTGGGTTCATTTTTGCAGTATTCTAAAACCCTGGATGAAGGGCTAATATTGAGGTCTCTAGACTATGAAAGCAGAATCTCTGATCATGCAAAACTGTCAGGGGCACCAGAAGGCTCCATTCTTTGACTTTTTCTCATCATAATCCTAATAGATTATACTTATGAATTGGTTGTTTTATCAGTAAGTAAAGAACACTTTGGCATTGCAAAGATACCTTGATGTGTATGTCATGGGTTCTCTGACAATTAATCTTGGTAGGGACAAATATGAATTGTCTTTTATGACTAAAATGCTGATGGTATATGCAGTGAATAAGGGCATTCAAATGTTTATAATTTTGTTGCATCAAAATTCCTTTTACAGGCATTATGCAAGTGGCAGAAGGTAAGGACATGGAAACGGCATATTCTTATTTCAAAGAAGCAGCCACAGGCTTCACATCGCGTAAGCAGCGGGCGCGTGCTTTGAAATACATGTTGCTCTCCAAAGTTATGGTCAATAGGTAAGGAAAATAAAGCTCTGTTATTTTGAATTCAGCACTCAATGTGTTCCTTTTTTGATTTCTAATATGATACTAAAGGGTGTATGATGGGATCCACAATCTTCCTTAACTTTCATCAAAAGGTCAGAGGAAGGGGAAAAAGCAGTACGAGGACAGAGTCATATCCAGGACATTGATGAAGGTGTAGAAGCCATGCTGGCTATCACTGCTGCTGCCAACAGGTCTTCCTTGGCTGACTTCAAGTAAGGGCTGAACATTGTTCAGTATTTTTATATTTATTAACCCACAGTTCCATGTTCATCTACTACATTGTCTGTACTGACATGTATAGAAACTGTAGGTTTGTATGTATATGAGGGTATAAACTACAGAAAAATAAACTTATATCAAGTGTTATCAGCCATCCCACCTTAGGTATTTGTGTAATTACTTGAGAATTAGTTATTCGGAAGAGATTGAACCACTTTCCTTAGCACTTGTGTCTGAGATGTTCAGGTATTTCCCATGTGCATCCAGGCTATTATGATTTGGAGTTCAGAAGGTAGAGGATAGTTCATGCACAATATTAGCATGACTGACCCTCATGATAAAGCGTATGTCATGACAAATAATCATTTATTGACTGACTTCATGGTTTTGCAGAAAGACAAGAGAGCAGTATGGAGAGCACCTGGAAGGGGACATGGTGGTGGCCAGTGTCTTAGATGACCTCTACACCAAAATGATGGAGAAAAACTTATTAAATATTGTTCTACCATATGAACGCCTCCAGGTGAGTCCTTCAGTAAGAGTTGACTATGGAACAACAAAATTTACATGTGCTGTGGAGTTCAAAATTCTTATGATGGGAATGATTGCTAGAAGTAACAATTTAATCATATGAATTGTAAATAATCAGCACTTTGAAAGAAATTGTTTAGTAAGTTACAAATATTCCAAGATACTGTAATTATATGAAGCTAATTTTTATCAAAGGTCCCCTAAGGACTCTAAAGACAATCAAAAAGAATTGTAAAGAAATTAAATGGAGTATATTGCAGATACACTGTTTTTGTAAATGTGAATCTTTCTAACAGTTTGTAGATTTTATTACTTGATACTGAGATGCTAATACAAAAAAAAGCACAGCATGCAGGTGTTAGTGTGTCTAACAAAAAATGTGCTTTAGGTATTTCTGTTGTTAAAGAAAAAAATGAAAGTTGTCATATGGGCTACAAAACACTCCCCAACAATTATTTACTTATCATTGTGAAATGGTGGTGATATAGGTTTAACCCATTCGCGCCGGGTAAAAATGAACAAAAAACGAGGAAAATGCTGTGCTCATTTTTTTATATTTCTTTATGAAATTTTTCTACATTAGATGGCTCTGCCTTACCTGATTTCACCTTTACTTGAATTAGCGGGAAAATGTATTTTTACTAGTGTTACGAATATCGGTGGTTATTTTTATTATAAAGATTATTATTACTATAATGTTATAAACATTAGTAACAGCAAAATAAGATAACGCAAAATAATTCCATAAATTAAAGAAAAGGGTAAACAGGCGAAACAGGCAGTACAAGTATAAACATAAACAATTCAACAAATAAACTCAGAGAGAGCCTGTCACATATACATGACACCTGGCGCGAATGGGTTAAGAGGTACTGTAAGGTAGAGCTGTTTGTTAAGCCCTTTTTTTTGTAGCTCTCTTATCTAAAGCATTCTCTGTTTTACAGATTGTCCACATAGCCCAGAAAATAGGTCTTCCACGAGAAGATGTTGAAAAACGTCTTTCTCAAATGATTCTAGACAAACGCATCAACGCCCAGCTAGACCATCGTGATGACTGCCTCTATGTTTATGGTGCTGAGGAAAAAGATGATGTGTATCAGACTGCAATTGATACTTTATGTCAACTTGATAAAACTGTTTCACACCTCAATAGTAAAGTGAAGAAACTATTGTAATGAAAGTTTTATCTAGGCTGGAATGTCTTATGAAGGAAGTAAAAGTGTATCATATAAGTACATCTGGTGAAGAGCAAGTGTCTAGGAGCACTGTAGTACATTCTAGATGTCTAGTGTGAGAGAGCAGACAAAAAGTTAAGTTTCTTTAAGGATAAGATTTAGTTATATTTATAAATGAGAATATTGGACTTTTTTTTCCTTTTAATAAATAATGAAGTTCA